AATGAACAAAATTGTTATCACACAACAATACGTACCTCTGGTACAGGTATTCTCGTGCCTTCGAAGGTCTCCCAGAGTATCAAAGACGCTGCCGCAGGCTCTGCACTGCAGATCGCTGAAGTCTGAAGATTCATTCAACTGGTCTAAAGGGTAAAATTAACAAGCAAACACGAGTTGTACCGGTCTAAAAAAATAAAGGCTAACTAAATTTAATAAATAACTTAAAAAACGCAAGAACTGAGTGAGAACGATGCTGTACGCTTAAAACTGACAAATATGGAGATGATAAGAACCTGGATGAACTTCCTTCCCATGCTTTACACATTCTTCCCAGGTCAGGAAACAGGAGTGACAGTGACGACAGTAGAAAGGAGAAACGTCTAAAAGACAAAAAAAATTGACTGCAATAGCTTGTCAATAAAAACGACAAAAGGCAAACATACAGCACGTCTCTCGTGGAAGGAAAATTAAAATAAAACAGTTAGCCCATTCTTCCGAGAACAAGTGACGGCAGTATCAACCGAATGTACTAAAACTCTTTCATATAATTTTAAACATAAAAAACACGGTAAGGCACTCTTGTGACGCCGCCTAATGGCGAAATTTTCCTCGTCCCAGTTTCTAACGGAAGTCGTGTCTAAAGATGCAATGCTTGATTAAGGCATGTTTAATGCGTGATAGGTGCAAAATAAGAAATATTTTAAAGTTGCTTGTAATTACTTTACTGAATTTAAATTTACGTAAAAAGCATACAGAAAGAACAAAGTTGACCAACATAAAATCCTATTGGTCAGCAACGGATACCTATAAACTAATAACAATAGTACGACAACTCCTATTGGTTAACATAATCAAGGAAGAGTCTGGATAAGAGGAAATTCGACCTATTGAAAATGTTGAAGTAATATTCTATTATTAATCACGGACAAAGGCGGCCTCACAAGAAAGACTTATATTGTTGTAATACTGATTAATGTAGGATATAAGCTCCAACACAAGATCTGTTAGCATTACAGGCAGCTACCCTACGAGTCAAAATGGAGGCAATGTCGATTAGTCCCCACAACTGTTAGACGTCGCTGCAGCAGTCGGGAATTAGGGTGCGCGGAGCGAATTCG